ATATATATATATATATATTTATATCAATTGAATGAATAGTCATATCAGTAAAGATAGTTCACTGTAGATAATGTTGAAAAAGATGGTCTTAAGAAAAACGTGTTTGAAGCTTTAAGTAAACTTTATGTTAAAATAAAACAATTTTTTAGTTTATACGAGGGCAAGTCAATAAGCACTCGCAGTGTTATGTCACATTACTTTTTGACAAGTATCTTTCAGCTGATTACTGTCAAATTTTGAGCGAAATTCATCGCGTGGTTTCATTTCTGTAGACGATTAAAGCGAACAACATTTGTATTTTTTGCAAAATGGAAAAAAACGAGTTTCGTGCAGTGATCAAACATCTACATACGAAAGGTTTAACGCCGAAAAAAATCAAAGCCGAGTTGAATAATGTTCATAGCACATCTGCACCAGCGTTTGCGACTATATACAATTGGGTGAATGAATTTTAACGTGGTACATCCACATGTGATGCACCTCGTTCGGGACGTCCAATTGAGGCCTGCTACGCCAGAAATCATCGATAAAGTCCACGATATTGTTTTGACTGATCGACGAGTAAAAGTGCGCGAGCTTGTTGAGGCCACAGGTATATCATATGATACAGTAATTTCAATTTTGCACGAACAATTGGGTATGAAAAAGCTATCAGCAAGATAGGTGCCACGTTTGCTCACTGTGGATCACAAGCGCGACCGTGTGACGATTTCAAAACAATGTTTGGAGATGTTTCAACGTAATCCAGATGAATTTTTGCGTCGATTCATTACTGTGGACGAAACATGATCCATTACTTCACACCCGAGACGAAGGAACAGTCAAAACAATGGACTTTATCGGGTGAAGCTCCGAAGAAAACGAAGACCGTGAAGTCGGCCGGAAAGGTGATGGCCACAGTTTTTTGGGATGCACGCGGTATAATTCATATCAATTACCTTCCGTCGAAGCAAACGATCAATGGCAATTATTACATAGCTTTATTGGACCGTTTCAACAATATTTAAAAAAAAAACGTCTCCATTTGACGAAGAAGAAAGTGCTCTTCCATCAAGACAATGCACGGGTTCACACGTGGCCAGCACCGATAGCCAAATTCAACGAATTCCACTACAAATTGCTTCCCCATCCAGCATATTCACCAGATTTAGCCCCCTGCGACTATTTCCTGTTTCCAAATTTGAAGAAACGGTTCGGAGGAAAGAGATTCACCACCAGAAAGCAGCTTATCGCCGAAACAGAGATATTTTGAACAGTTGGATAAATCATATTATTCGGACGGCTTCAAAAAGTTGGAGAATCATTGGATCAAGTATAGAGCTGAAAGGAGAGTATGTTGAGAAATAAAAATAAATCGATAAAAAAAATGTGTTTTACTATGTTTTTCTAAAAACTTATTAACTTGTCTTCGTACATAGCCAGCTATTCCAAGATCACAAAGGATTCCTTCTGTTTCATCTAAAACTTTGAAAAAATGAAAAAAGAACTTTTTCGATTTTCTGAAACCATGGTGGATCATCAGGATGGTGTACTCCCTTAATAAATTCTAGACTCAAAGTTAGGAAACATTTGTTACTTAAGACACTATTTATAAAAAGACAACGCTGCGTAATAGCTCGAAGGAAAATAGGGGTGGTAATGTGACCTTCACGAGAATGGTATTTTAAAAAATAGTATTTAATTACAAAATAAACAGAAAATGAAATATTGCAGAATGTATATATTATACATGTAATTTTTTTATACATAGACTGCTCAGTAAACATTTATATACGTATACATATACTATAGTGCGTATGCATATAAATTATTTATAAATTAACAGTACAGTTATAATTGATCTATAGAATAGTTATTTTGATATGAAAATTTTGAAAAAGATAGACCGTCAATAATCAGCATGCTTAGGGACTACATTGACAAAATGCTATTGATTAACTTTACATAATTTGAAGTGTATACAGCCATAAAATATTAAATAACAAATGACACACTGAAACATACATATTATATATATATATATATATATATATTTACACATAATTTATATACATATACATATACATATTTGTGTAATAATACCCTGCGTGTATGAAGTTGGCACCACAAGTTTTGATACAAGTTCCATTGATACTCGCAATAATTCCTGATAGGTTTTATAAATAGTTCCGTTAATTTAGATTTAGGTAAAAAAAAATAATACTTGAAAATTTGAGGTGCTAACTTCCTGTGGTGCGCAAGACTCGAAAAAATTAGTTTAAACCATGAAATCTTATAGTTCTCGATGAGTTCTACAGTTTCTGATAGGTTATAACGATAGTTCCGGTCTCTAAGTATTTTTAAATAATAAATAAACTGGTGGGTTACTGGCTCCGCACATCAAGAGTAAAATACTTCTTAACAGCCAGTTCCAGCCGATTTTTTGGCATTTTCCGAGCACTATTGGAATACAACTTTTATTTGAAACATTTTTCCATATCTATCATAGCCGAAAAACTGAACATTTCAGGCTTGTTCAGGACTAGATTTGTTCGTCATTATAAGAGCTACATTTTATGAAAATTTCAAAGCTTTGCGTTTAAATCTCAATGAACAAAGAGCGAGTGAAAAAAATGTTCGGTGTTTTTAATTTTTTTTCTACTGAACTAATAAATCGATTTTAATGTTCCACGTTTCATTTTTTAGGTATTTCAAATACCTACAATTTTTTATGCTAAATTTTTTTCCATACAATCAATATCTTTCGTTTTATAAACAAAAACGTGCTTTTTGTAACTATTCAATTTTTTTTCGCATATTTTTTTCACAAATCTTGAGTCTCGAACATACGCATTTCTTTTCTGATAGCCTTTCGAGACTTTCGTGAAGATAAATGCTGGTTTATAATTTTTTATAAGACCGGTAAAATTCTACTTCTACTGAACTATTCTTGTTACTCGAGTTTATGAAGGAGAGGTATACTATATAACGCGCATGAAAAATCATAAACAATTAAATAACAGCATTTTAATATGATTTATATTATTCTGAATTAATGGGAGGAGTACACTATACTACAATTTATTAAAATTTATATGTTTATATTTTTAGAATGCTTCCCGCCCCTTATTGATGTCTAGAGGCGCCGAGATTGCCGAGAAAGCATTTTCGGTCGCTTGAAACAAGTGATTGAACAAGTGAGGAGGAGCTCGCTGTTTCGTTCACTCTTGGCGCGCCGCAGGCACGGACATGGGCTCGTGCTTAAGTGTATACTATCGGTTTCGCCAGACCGTCGTCTGATTCTATGCCGCCACCGCCAACGCAGAGTTCTTGGCTGAGTAGTCAGGAGCCTTAATAGGCTTTATTAATCAGTATGTAACATTTTATCAGATTCAAAACAAACAGTTTTTTATCGCATTAAAAATGTCGGGTTTTGTATCAAAAAAGAGCATTTGCAAGAAGCATTATTTTCTGTTTTAATCTCAAGAAATCTGCTGTTGAAAATCATCGTTTGCTAGTGGAGGTTTATGAGAAGCATGTTCTATCTGAAACAATGTGCAGAGATTGTTTAGAAGATTCAAAAATCACGATTTTGACGTGAATGACAAAGAGCGCCCTGGTCAGCCAAAAAAGTTTGAAAATGGAGAATTGAAAGTATTACTTCAAGAAGATTAATGTCAGACGCTCAAAGAGTTGTCGAAAACATAGTCGGAAATTAATCAAACGTTAAGTTAGTAAACGTTTAAAAGCAATGGGAATGATCCAGAAGTTAGGAAACTGGGTTCTATATGAATTGAGAAAAAGAGATATTGCGAAACGTTTAGTTATGCAAATTACTGCTTCAAAGACAAAAAATGGAAGTCGTTTTTTCATTAAATTGTGACTAGCAATGAAAAATGGATTTGTTACGACAATTCCAAGAAATCATAGGTATTATACAATGTCTCGGCGAATCATCAACATTAACGCCAAAACAAGATATTCATGGAAAGAAGGTCATGCTGTGCATTTGGTAGGATTAGTGTTAGTGTAGTGTACTATGAGCTGCTGCAACCGAGTCAAACCGAATCAATGCTGA